GAGGTTTCCCGCCTCAGATTTCAGCTACAACTTCATTAAAATTCATTCAGAATTTCCTTAGCTTAAAACAAAGCCAAAAATACAGTCTTAGATCGTTCACTAAGAGCAGAAGGAACGGTTTCTAAAACAATAAAAAACAAGCCGGAAAGATATTTCAAGCAACTTTTAGTTCAGGTATCCTACGAACCTCTATATAATTTTAGTAACTGCAGGTTTAAATCCCACTTTTAGATAAAATACAGTTTTGGATCCTTAGGCCCTACAGACGCCATAAACCAGGCTAGATACCAGGAATGGAATCATGCTTTTAACTGAAAACATTTGTTTTTCCAAGTGTTAAAACCTAACTCATTTTAGAGCACAAGAAAATGTCTGGATTAAAAATTGCATCATTGCTCGGGAGATATCTACGAGGGTTTGGCAACAGGAAAACTTTATCTAGATCCACAGTTTCAATTTTTAACACTTCTGACAGTGTAGTGAACCAGTTTGAGGCTTACATGCGTGAAATTTCGACACAACTCGCAAGTCACAGCTTATGTTACAAAACGGTGGAGCAATTTGGACAGTAGTCTTTTTGCCTAATCACACGTTCTACACATTCAATACATTTATCACTTTTTCGGAAAGTAGCTTGGTGTTGTCCCTAGTATCAATTGCAACGGAACGTGCTCGAAGCCCAAAGGAATGAGTTCTGGATGAAACGTATACAGTATTATTGTGCTCTTCTGAAGACCCCATGAGCCAGAAGATATGAACAATTCATATACCACTTGAAAACGTGTAGTGTAGTGTTAACTAATCGACTGATATATTCTTGACTTCGCGCTAAACTTAGTTTACTAGAAAAAAACCTACGTAACGGGCCAGCTATCTAGGAAAATAAAAACGTACCAGAATCTGCCACAGATAAATGTATGTGACGTTCTGTCGTGTGGAGTTCTTGTGCCTTCTTAAGGCCAAAAATTCACTTATATTGTGAACCACTCAGTCAAAATTTTGCTAGATATCAACCATATTTTATTCAGTTACATGAACTTATCGCAACTGCGTGTGTACGAATATCATGCACCTGATGCAGGCCAACAGCGGCGCAGTCATTCGCGTAATAGTAAAAAATCGCAGTTCAGGTAACCTATTAGTTGTGCATAAATCCCTTCTTCTGCTCACGAACGCAGCTGCAACACCGGTTCATTGTCCAAATGTCGTGCAACGCAGAGTTCAACTACCACCAGTTTGCGCCAGTCCTGAAAAACCGAACATACAGCACCCCCTTAGAATTGATGTTATCTTAACTAGGTTATTTCCTTGAAGTTCGTAAGTTTAATTTCAAGTTTAAAATCATGATTTTGAACGATCGCCCAACTGAACCTTACTTAGTTACTAATCTTAAGCCTCACTCTCTTAAATAACTAGCACTGCGTGACGCGGTCTGCTTATTGCCTTTCACACCCAGTGAACCAATACATGGCGATTTGTGAAATGATATGGTATGTGTATATAAAAGACTGGTAATCAGATGTGAAGCCCTACTAAGTATACCTTTGACCAATAACGGACCAGATTTTGGTGTACGGACTGCTAACGAATAATCCAAACTGAACACCGATTAAGTAGGAATCCACGCAAACATGCTAAATTAGTCACCAGATACCAAGAGTGCATAAAACCCCGAGTCGCCTCAAGAATGTAGGATACTGTCCTAACAGACCTACCACAAATTTTTCATCTGTTGATACAGAAAAGAACAACCAACACGGGAAGAATATACACTGTTTTGATTTTACATCCAGTCGGATCTTTAATTTTTTATATCTAGATTAGTTCCTGTCCGCGCTATGTTCTATAGGAGTCATACCATATAACTACTTGCATTATACACACCACATAACTGGAAACCCGATAACGTCTTTTAGAGAACATCCTTAACCCGCTTACACCCAGAGCTTTGTGTAGTGCGATTTTTTCCGCATTTCTTGGACCACGAGGTAAAATATCTAGTTCAATAAACAGCAGTTGTGGCTTTCGATGTCTTATTGTGTACACCAGGATTATCTCTCCTGATAGCATGCAGGCAAATGTTTTAGCAGAATGCGGAGTTTACAAGCTTCGGAACGGGCGTCGTAGAGCTCTTCTTCGTGTGGAAGCGTCTTAGAATTAATGTTTTTATTGGCATTCAAGAAGTGCAATTGGATCTTTGGTTTTTATTGTTTTCGTTAGCTTTCCTCTATCACAGACACTTTCTTATTATATCTGAGTCGATAGCCCTAAGGAAATAAGGTCTTACACCATCAAGGATGAAAATTTGTAATAGGGGTTCTGAAAACGTTTGCTATTGTGTTTACACTGAAGGACTTCTTATAATTCAACCTCATTACCCCAAAACAAGTAGCAATAAAAGTTATAAGGTTTCACAAGTAACTGGAGAACAAAGGTGAACTACCGACATTTGGTGACATACCAGCTTGAACGGCACATCAATTGAAGATAATTCTTTTTGAGCAGGATTCCAACCATTCAAAGAGAGATTAATTCTTTGGTATAAGGTGTAAAAAAGCTGCAAAATTCTGGAGATATTCACTCATAAATAGAGAACATTCGAGACTTAACTGGTGCGCCTTCAGACCGGACATATTTGGTTGCAGAAGTAAGAGTAAATGTATTTTTTAGAAAAATAACTCCGCTTCATGACCGCCGATGAGGCCTAATGTGCAGCCCGGCGAGATATCGTTAACTTTCGTGGAAATTTAGTTGTAGGGCCTTGAGCGATACTGTGCTGTTTTCGAATACTATATAAACATTTTTTAAGGTTTGCACTGCTTTGGAGCTTGACAATAGCCTGTCAAGGTGGACCACTGGACAACACGAATGACTTCGCCCTAATCCGTATCTACTGAGCTGATACAACTCGAATGGTATTGTGAACACTCATCAGTTTATTTTAAATGCGCTATATGCGTTTGAATGTGCAAATCGGATTACAGAACAGAATTAGCGCGAAGTTTTTGTTTTCTATGGTTTTGGGAAGAGACCGCCTTTTTTCCGCTCTTCATCTTCATGTGTTTCAGAGGAGGTTGGTCCGTTTCACTGCCCAAACACGCCTTGGTATCATTCACTGAGGTGGGAAACTATGAATACATCCATGGCTCCTAGAATTCGCAACTCGCCTATCTACGAGGTTGGTGAAGATTTGCGGCAGATGGCGCGGAATATTTATTGTCCCGTTTGGTAGGAAATCTATTAGAATAAAAAATGACTTTTTGCCATTAGATCTACCAAAGCGCACACGTTGAGAAATAATCGTGCAGCTTCATAAGTTGTGTGTTCCTACACATGGTTATCATACGTAAGCTTGGAGATTCATAGATAACTGCTCCATAAAAACACAAAACACCAGATATTCCTGGCACGTATTCATTGGAAAAGGTTAGTGTATTAATACGTCAAATAATACACTGATATTTCGCTGATAATCGAGTTAAATCTGCGCCCGAGAGTATTGGGTAAAGAATTCAACCAGGAGAGTTATTCACTGAGAACAAAGCCTTATCGAGTTAAGCTCATCACCAAGTGTTAGCAATCCGATAGTATTAAAGAAATTATTCGCAAGTCTTCAGCTGAAGAACAGAAAAGGCCCCTTCACTCCAACCCCCCACACGCCCTTTGCATATCCGATCATCAGAAGAAAGCCGACCACACAGACCGTTTTGCTAGAGGTACCGCCGTTTGAAAGCCCAAGAGGCAAACTTTCATGCTTTGTTGTTTAAAAAACCATTAAACTTATTGTATTTTTGTCAAATTAAGTCATATACAGACACCAGTCCCACTGGTAGGAGTACACTTCTGTAAGATGATCCATCATAAACCAGTGCAGTCTTGCTCATGCGAGCCAAAACTCATTTAGGCACTTAAATCATTTTATATGTTTACAGTAAGCTCTTCGCCCAGTGTTTCTAAACAGTTCAAGAGCATTTTAATGACATTAGGCAAAACGACCTTAGATAGGAAACCAGCCACTTAAATAGCAACACCTGTATTAGCCCAGTCTATTGCCAAAACAGTTTCATGGTTGAGCCCACAGCATCATGATCTGGTTATATGCAATTATCCAAAACCATTGTTGTTTTGACGACTCAGGAGGAATGAAAGTAACTGCATGTTATGCATTCAGTCTGGGCTGGAGAGTAAGTTATGTGCAACGAAGGCTCACACGAAGTGCGCTCTGTGGAACACGCGCAAGCTCGTGTAGGCTACCACCGGGTACATACCACAATGGATATGTAGCATGAATACACACAAGACTAATCAGCGGTTAAGTCAGGCGTCGGCTTGTTTTAAAAGATTATTTTTTCAAGTATTGAAGCTGTTCTTGTGCAATAGGACAGTAAACTCAATACAGTACGCCCATTATATANACAGTAAACTCAATACAGTGCGCCCATTATATATATATATATATATATATATATTCATCCACCTACCTACCACTTGTTGTTTACCAAACGCCTCTGACACTATACCCACCGCAGTGGCTTCACGATGGTGATTTGTATGGTTCGCTCAGCCGCAGTGAACAGTTCAAGTGAGGAGAACCTCTATTATATTGTTCGGCACTCGCACGCTCGAGGCGCTTGACAGAGCACGCATATCTCAGCGACAGCGAACGCAAGCATGCTACGCAAACTTTTTTGATCGTCACATATTGTCTAGAGAAAGTCTTAAAGGGAGAAAAATACACTTGTCTTGGACAATCTCGTTGCCTGGCATTCAGGTGTCTCGTCTGCTGTTTTGACCGTAGTAGCTCCCATTGCCTCTAATTGTACTTTTGCGTTCAGAAACAGTGTAGTGCTATTAAAGGTCACACCCCGCAGAACTCGCCAGGTCACTTCCTAGTTAGCATTAGCAAGTCTTCAAAAGAAAGTTTCCTAGAGACCTAACCAACCATGTGTATTCAACCGTACGAAAGTATCTTGTAAACCGAATGAGGGACGGTTGCTTACCGATGTATTTGCCATTAAACAACCAATGTTGGTTGCAAATACCACAGGAGGTCGTTAGGGCCAATGCCACTTGGTTACATTCACACGATTGCGCAATCATGCGTGCATGAAACTCAGTATGGTTTCTGATTGTTTCATCACCTTTTCAACCAATACTATTACTGCGGTGGCCGGGTCAACATGCGGTGTGGTCACGCAGAATGAATGTGGGCGGGGAGAATGTTAGGTGGTTCACGGTTTTATGAAGTGACTTGCAAAAGGCAACCAATAACATGCCTTCCCACCTTTGCAGGCGATGCACCAATCGGTGCCATGTACAAGACCGATAATGAAGTCTGGCCGCCTCTACCGTGTATAATAAGCGAGACTGTTTTACATTTCGATCTAGACTACGTCTGATAAAAGTCGCAAATTTAAACCAGTTTGATGATGATGATGATATATGCATGGAATGTATGCATCGAAAGGGTGCAAGAACAAATATTACTTCCAATGATGTGTCCAAACTGCAAGTCACATTTAGTTCCGGCCGATTATTGTGTAAGCTTAACGCAGCTATTATAGGTTTTCCGGTGCTCAGGGCACATAGTATATTACGATAGAATGTGCTACCCAACGACAACAAACTATCACCTTCTTTATGTAGTATATGAAGAGCAAGGGACGAATTTTTTTATAACGCCAACCTCAGCAGAACTCTTTTCAGAGTGGAATGATGGAACTTCATATGGAAGGAGATTGTGTTTTGGGGTACTCTTCCTCAAAATTTCAAAAACATCAAAAATTTACTCGACACATCAATTCTCCAAAAACGCTGTGATGGACGTTATTTCGTCTCAGCTTGCATACACTCACAGTCTCCTTGGCATTGGTTTTATTTCCAGCACCTGTCCAACAGCTGACTGTCACGTACTGTCTGAAAGATCCTCCAAATCTGAGTAATTGATCCAGACTCCTGACGGTATGACGAAGATATTCCTTAAAAATGCTTGCCCCGATTTGTTTAGAGGTTTCTGCCACCTACTCATCTGTAAATCAGTACACACATATAAGACGTTTCTGGACATTCTTCGGATGTCTTCAGTCCCAAGTACATTTGACGATTAAGCTGAATTATACTTAGATGCTTGATTCTTCCGATAACAATAAGCTGAGCAAACACGTGAAACATAATGCTGGTGTTGAAAACGTTTCCTCACGTATCACTAAAAAAACTGCTTGACTGTGACTCGGCAGGGATGTTTGGTGAAACTGGTTGAAACGAAATTTCATCTTATACTGCTTTCTTAAGGACCTGGAAACTAGACTTTTATGAAGTGGAATTTCATGCAAAACTCGGAATTAACTCTCACCAAAGTGACCGGATTGAGGTTGATCCCGGACGTCATAAACAAATTATAAGTAGCAACCACACTCATTAACAACATCTTGTCATTTACCAGTGGTCGTGTTTCCTAATGAATTTCGTCCGTGTGTTAATTAGCCGGATCCATTGCATTCCAGAAACAGTTTCAAACAAAACAGTCTCAAAATTAGGTCATGATTAGCCGGTCAAGGCTGCGCATGAAACATGTGGATAAAAGCACCGGCATTCCACAACAACGGTTTACACTTAATTTTGCAAAATGCCGCTTATACAAGCTGGGGGAAACCAGAAATCTAACCTGCTTAAATTAAGGAGTGAATGAGATTCAAGACCAAGTATATCTGTTGAGTTACAAACACGAGGAGACCACTTGTGTGACCATCGTGTCGCAGTATTCTACGCGGCCGTTTGGCCGCTGTCTATCAGGCCACACAAATCGCACATTTCGTTAAGGTGACACCTGACTAACTCGAACGTATATTCAAGCAAAATGAAAACGCTTTCCTAGGCCTATGCATCACGTCCCAAAATAAACGTTGTCACTAGAATTAACGTCGGAACAGTGGAACCATGGAGTGGTTTTCCCGACGTTGAAGTATAGATAATCCGATTCGCAATGAGCGAATGAAGTTTTAAAAGGAGACTTTCGCAACTGTTTTCGGAACGTCTAATAGTGCACTAATAACTAAACCAACCACGGCAGTTACTTGTTCGGTTTCGAAGATTGCAGGATTCTTAAATGTGCTTTACACTTAGGCAAACTTTGAGGAGCAGCAAATGGGATGGCCTGGTGCGCCTCGTAGACTAGACCTTCAGCTTCCAAATAGTAACAAATTTATGAGCGAACTTTGGACATTCCAGTATATATATATATATATGTTTGACTTCCAGAATTGGATTTTCTTTTGACCAAGTTCTGCAGAGAAATATACTACTTAAACAGCATTTGCATATACATTAAATCACGTAGAAACTGCACGTTTGTGTTGCGGAAAAGCGGAACCGACAAACCTTCGCAAGTGAAAAATTATGCTTGTGCATGTGATATTCCAGAAACCTAGTCGCTTGCAAATTTCAGCTCATAATTTGTGTATCCCTTTTGGTAAATCATTTGCGCTGATGTGGCGAGGGTGATGATCTCTGTTGATCACTTGCCAGCAAATGTCCCATAAAACCTTGGCCACATTTGAATTCTTGCACACCCGAGCGAGCTCTTACGTTCAGCCCACGATCATCGTTGACTGAAGGACCTCGAATAAGCCCCAGGCATGGAAAAAGCAGGTTGGCCTTTCAATTAGGCACCTCTTACGTGTCACGGGGACTATTCACGATTATCCATTAAATTGTAAAGAACTACCATAATTTGACTTGGTTAATATGGCTAGATAGCTCTCAACTGAAGCCGAGGAAATGTGAGTCATGCCAAAATTCTAAGAAATAACCCACAGAAAGGGACGTTCAAGGATTCAGTCATGGATGCAAATTTACTAGTTTTCTCCAGTTTACCGCCCGAGCCAAATGTGAAAACCAGTTTATCGGTAGCTGAGAAAACTTTCTTTACAGCGGAAAATTCAAGAAGCCCTTCGTTAGAAAGTATAGGGAGGTTTTCTGACTAGCCTTACCACCCTCAAACTTAGCCAACTGTCAATGGAGCAAGAAGCTTTTCTCAATTCGAGGTATCCACTTCAGTAGTCTTTCTTTGGAGTCGGAATAGCAAGGAAGCTTTTTGTCCCATCTTCAACGGGTATAATGTTACCTGGTGTTTTGTTTTACTACCATTATAGGCAATCAGATCAATGATTTAAATCAAGCCGTTCGCATTTGAAGCTGCGTTACTCAACGGCTTTGTCTCCGGTGACTGTTCGTATTTGTCAACTCGCCGAAATGCTACTCCTAGACATCTATTGCAATCAAACAATTAGGACAATGCAAAGTAAATTTTCACATGTACACCAAATGCTGAATATGTTGTTCTTGATTACACACCGACCGAATACATCTACGAAAAAACGGAACAACTATTTCGCGTCCAATATCAATGAAACATTTTGTACAGTGCTGCGCTCGAAGAGCTCGAGTATCGTTTTCTTAGCCAGAAACTTGAGTTAACGCGCTGATGGGCTGATCTCGGAAGAAATCCGGTGGCCGATATAGGACCCCTGCATAGGACTAAAAACGGAAAACAATTCACCCCTGCATGAGCCGAAGAAATGCTTGGCAAAGAGTCTGGAATATGAATTTCTAATGCATTTCTCGGAGAGCTTTAGCACTAGAACCCATCGATATTTTAGAGATACTCTCGACACAGCGAACCCATAAACTGTCGGCTGCAGGGGAAGTGGTAGTTTACCGGTATATGTCTTAGTTGACTGTGCAGAACAAAGCATCGATTAATCTTGCCTTCTTTCACTCTTTCGTACTTCACATGTTGTGCACTGCTACTTACCACTATGAACGGTTTTATTAGCAAACTGGCATCTTTTCTATTTACTTTTGCAATGTGTACATTTTGCACACCATACTCATAAATGGGTCTAGTAATTTTAACCGTATCACATGATAGTTTCGTCATTGACTGTTGAAACCTTGTAAGACTGCTCAAGCGTGATGTGATCTATGCGTCACCACCTATTGTTGCCGACGTATTTTTGGGTGATCTGCGACCGGACTCTTGTTCTCATTTTCCTTGTGCATGCGCCCCGCCGCCTACATTTTTTGGGCTTTCGCAGATAATGGTTGTTGGCTCATCCCAGCTTGTTCCCTGACAACAGTTTTCCATTTTACTTCATGCAAAAGTTATATTACATTAGGTGCCCGTCAGAACATACTGTTATGTTTCAATTGTTCTCCCTCCCTTTGCATACTTCTTCTATAGGTTTCGAATTCCAGGCAGTACCCGAGCTGGATTATTACTCTTGACCTACCCTCTTGGGTAGTTACTTCAACACCCTGTGGGTGCATTGAACCCAAATTCATCTATTTAATATTCTGGAAGGAGCATTCACATCCACGTGTCTGCTGAACTCACGCCATCTGCCACAACAATACCTGTTTCCTGCGGCTCCGGAACCATGCAAACGTCTCCGGTTTCCCCTGAGCTTCAACTTGCCTTGAACGAGACAAACACGAAATCTGTCATTCTTCTATGAGCCGACACAAAATGACGATCTTGGTACTTGTTCTTCAAGCAAGCGCCACACTAATGTGTTTACTTCTGAACCCTAATCTTTGTGTAGATTTTACAGTGCAAGTAACTGAAGGACTGCTTACAGAATCAATTAGCCTGTCAACGAATACTATACATGGCGACCTGTATCCAGCAATGGCTGGATTTATAAGCGTACGTAAGTTGATGTAGTATTTCCAGTGTCCAAGTTGCCAAAATACAGGTAAAGTTTTTGTGGATGAAGTAGGAAGTTTATTTGCCTGTCACCTTTAAACGATGATGACAGTTTGTCGAGACTTTGAGACTTTGATGGAGATTTCATTTAGCAAGTGAACTCATTCTATACTGATTACCCGACTGTCGACATGCAGCTGTCTCATTTCTTTTGCGAATTACCAGCAGTGCGCACCGGATGCAACTTTAGGGAGATTTGAGCTCATTACTTCAGTGTACTGTCATTCAATGTTTCTTCACTTTTTGGCTTAAACTGACTTCACTACTGGTATGAGGTCTCTATTACATTTTGAATACCCTCTAACAACACCAGCGAAATATAAGTAATCTGCCATGTCAGAAAAACA